TTTTGTCGATGCTGTTCAGATCGCACACGACCTCTTGCAGGTAAATCGTGATCCTTTCCATGGTCACCCTTATTCGTCCACCGTGTTGGTCGCCAACGTGAGTGGATATGACTTGGACGAACTGAGTCTCCCTCGGCGATCCGATGGCTCGATCGCGAGACCACCCTCGGGGGGGCCCGGGTGTCCCGCATGCGCCGATAATGTTAACGTGCATGCTCCCTCACATGACAGAAGTCCTAGACATTGGAGGTGGTACGACAAGGGCGACTGCCATTGGGAATGTCCGGGCTGTAAGCAGAACTACGGCAAGAACAAGCCTGGGCACGTACTGACACCTGGCAAATGTAAGTTTGCCAAACCCTGGACGCTGCCCGACAATCGTAGACAGGCGCCACCGTCTCCTGCCGAGCCGGCAGCAGGACCTGCACCGCCGGCCCCTGCTGGACCAGCAGCACCACCACCACCGAGGTGCCAGCCGCATCACTACTTACGCGGCTAAGAGCACCAAGACCCGGCTCTAGAGCTGGACCAACAGCGGGTGCAAGCAGGCACGATATTACCGTAAGCAGACGTGCCGCTGAACCTGCTGCAGGGCAACCTGCCTCGAGTGGAGCTGGTAGTTCGGATGGCCATCTCCGACTGCCACAGGTTAGAGTCGGACGTGGCCGACAGCGAGGTGGAGAAGCACCTCCTCCGCCACCAGCGGGTGACCAAGCTGCGCGACCACGACTTCCAGACTGGTCACGGTTCGACGTACAAATCAGTCTACAATATTTACGAAACCTTGACACAAGCGTGGTAACACGCGAGTTGCGGAAGCTACACTTGCGCTGGTTCCATGCGAAAGAGCCTAAGATGATACTCATCTTGAGCAAGATAGGTCTGGACAGCGTCAGACTCATCCTGATTCAAGGTGTCTGCGACACGTGTCGGGAGTGCAGAGCATGGGACAAGCCTGGGCATACTGTCGTGCCCTCCACTGCACTGCCTGGTAAATTTTGTGAAGAAGTGGAATGTGATCTGATGTTCTACAGGCAAGAACACAAACTCTTCCATATCATCGATCGTTGTATTCGATATGCTACTGGAATGGAGGTACCAGACAAGACTATGACCAGTATCCTGGATGCATATCATCATCGCTGGATGCAGTTTGGACCCCCGAAGGTACTCTACTCCGACGGAGAGGGTGCCCTTAACAACGACACTGCGAAGTCAGAAGTTAGGATGCAGTCCTTAAGGCAGACAGCGTCGAAATTAGGATACGTGCGCGTGGACAGCACGCTGCGACGATAGAAGCCAGAAGTGGCTTCTTGCGCCATCTACTTCATCTCATGGAAGCTGAACCCAACAGGTTGGGCATACCTTTTGTGTTCACACGGCTACTGCACGAGGCTTTGTTCGCCGCCAACGCGTTCGCCTTCTACGACGAGGTGTCTCCGTGTAACGTTCTGTTTGGACGGCAACCGGCAATGCTTCCTGACTTACCTGTCTTGGACCACGAGCAGTCGGCGGAGACGTCGGATCATTCTCGTGCACAGACGATACGCAAGGTATGTATTGAAGCTATCACACAGGCCACAGCAGTAGCTAAGACCAATCGCGCCTTACGCACTAAGACAACTATCACTGGTCAGCATTATTACGATGAAGGAGACTTGGTCGATTATCATCACCCCACAACCACGAAGGATGACTGGGGGGGCTGGAACGGCCCATTCCCAGTTGTAAAGACTGATCCCGAAAGGGGTCAAGTCATCATCCGAGTGGGCAATCGAGATGGCCAAGTACAATGCGGCGATGCACGACATTCATTCTATATTGAAGCACTGATAGCCCGAGAGATTGGCTCCGACAGCACTGCGCTACGGACAGTGTTGACGTTCGTGGCCAGTTTGTCAGCGGGGAGACCTGCTCTGACCTCTGGCTATGTGCCGACCAAGAAAGGGGCGCTTCAGATGACGAGTGCAAGCCGTCTATCTCCTAAGGTCCATTTACCTTTACAGTACCTTATCAGAAACTTCTCCCGCATTGAGAATGTAGTCTCAGCCAGAGTAGCTAAGAGTAGTCATAAGCTACCTCCGGTTACTTATGCTGACAGCTGCACCTTTGTCCACTATGACAACGATGTTAATCCAGGATTTCACTATTATGAAGCAGAGGGCACTGTACTGAATACATACGATATAACCGGATCAGCACATTCGAGAATCATCCAATGCCCGAAGTGCACTAAACCTCAAGCAGGTTTTGATCAGGACATGACAAGATTTGAGGAATTGGCGGGTGCACCGACACCGGATGGAACCACAAGAGAAGCCTCAGAAGCCGAACCACCACATGATGGTGGACGGCTTTCTACGATCTACGAGGAATCAGAGGCTGATCTCGAGTCACATGTGATGGAAGTGTGGTATGCAGAAATACAAGGGGAAAGGGAACTGCTGGCGGCAACTCCACCAGAGGACCTCTTTACCATGCCCACACAGATCGTTCCATATCAAAGTGTGCTGATCGCTGTAGCTGATGAACAGCGGGGGCACCTGCCGAAGTGGGGGCGCACTCGCGACTCCGACAACGAGGAGACGTACTACGTCCAAATGTGCACCATGGTCGAAGACGACAACTACGGACTGGACTCATACGAACATGGTCAATATGTCGAACTCTGCTTCGCGGCAGAAATGTCAAAGCTAGTCCTGTCCGAACAACAACACGTGATACTCGATGCCGACCGTGTGACCACTATGCGAGTATGCGTTGCCGCCGCTGCAAAGCGAGCTGTGGTCGTCAAGGAAGACGACCTCCTCGCGAAAGGTGACATCCAGGCGAATCCCGATAAAGAGTCGAAGGCCCTCTACACTGAACTCAATGCATGGTTCGACAACGAGTGTTTCAATATGCAAGATATAGCTAAAGTGTCGAACCTCATGCCTTCGAGGTACGTGTACACTTGGAAGTTTGTGAAGAACGAGAAGGGCGAGATGGAACGCTCCATCGGATTACGCCTGGTACTCCGAGGCTTCATGGACCTTGAAGCCTTCGACGTATAAACCTTTTCGGGAACAGCGCCTCGGACAAGCCAGAGGCTACTCGCTAGCACGGCAGCGTGCAAGAGACAATGGATCATTGCTTCCCTCGACATCAACATGGCCTTCCTGAAGGGGTTGACTATCAGGAACTTGCTGAGGCTACTGGTGAAAAGGAACGTGTGGTGTGTTTTACTTTGCCGCCTGGATCGGCCACGGTGCTTCGAAATCTCCCAGGATTCGAACACTACGACGAGGCAAAGCATTGCTTGCAGTGCTTGAAATCAGGCACGGGCACCAAAGACGCACCACGAAAGAAGGGCCGCCAGAGGTTTTGGTCTCCGACCCACGTCCTACGACAAGGAGTTCGAGACGAGCAACAACCTGCTCATTGCCGAACATGTTGATGATATCAATATGGCCGGCACTGAGGACACCATTGGCAAATGTGTCAAATGCGTAGAAGACACTTCTGGTAAGTGTGAACTCAACAATCACACGTGCACCAACTGTGCCGCGATATACACCAAGGATGAGGACGGTCATGCCACTTTGGCCCAGGATGAATACATCAAGCAGCTCCGTCCTATGCAATATCCTGAGCTTGCCAGCGCCGACGCTGACGCTCAGGCATCCCGGATGTTTGCAGACATGTTCGTCAGCCTCAGGGGCGCGCTGGCAAATGCATACATCGTCCAAGTATGGTTGATGGTGTATGTTGTATCTCTACAACGTGTCCAATAACCGACCAACATCCAAGTGCGACGACTGAACGCGATCACCAGGAAGCTGCAGGCCTGCCCAAGTAAGATCGTCTACCAGGCGATGACTCCCACGGGCGAGGTTGACCTGCACAGCGACTCAGGATACCGACGCCTGAGTGGAGACGCCGATGGCGACGTCAAAGGCTATGGTATTCGCTGGGCAAACTTGCTACGACGTGGAAACACGTCATCCGGTAAACCTGTCGTTCACTTGATCGATGCATACTGCAAGTCTCACCGCTTGCAGGTCCGCTCGAGCTATTCAGCAGAGACACTAGCAGCGGCCCATATTTGGAGGGCTGTTATCTCGCGATTGTGACTCTGCGCGAGCTCCACGCAGGGCCGCTCACGCCCACTCCGTTGAAAAATATACTTGAGTTGGGTGGCCTGAGCATCGAGGTCACTTTGACCATAGATGCTGAGTCTGTTTTGAAGTTCCTGTCAAGCAGAGACTTGAAGAAGCCGACTGAGTGTACCCTTTTAGGACACATCAGTTGGACACGACAGATGATCGAGCGCGGAATCGTGCACAGTATTCAGTGGTGCGACACCCGCGACATGACTGCGGATGGTCACACCAAGGGGAGCATCGACAGATAAATGCTCCTACAAGTCATGGGAGGTATACAGGCCTTCGAACATGACCTGAAGAGTCATGCTCCATATCGGGGTGGCCAGACATCTAGTTCTGACGCCACCTGAGGAGTACTTAAAGTACAGAACTGTACAAGCAAGGCAACTTGCGAGCGGGTCCACCTTCCTTCTGGCCCGCCCCTTTTCTGTCCTTGTGTATGTTTGCTGCTGTGTTGCTGTATAGGGGCGACGGGCTCACGCCTCGTTTCCCTCCCCCCCCGATTTCAAAGCGCGCTGGGGGACGTAATGGGCGGAAGCGAGCGTGCGCCCGCGGCCGCGTCGGCTCAAGCGGCCGGCCGCCCAGATATGACTGTGCCTCGTCGCGAGGCGCACGATTGCTATCGAGACCGAAAGGATCTTCCTATTGCTTAAGATGGCACATCCTCTCCTACTGGGACTGTCACTACTACGGTACAACAGAGCAAGAGCTTGGCTTCGCTTAAGGCGACACTGGTGGCTGGGCCTCCCAGCCCCCTTCAAACTCTCCCCCCTCCACCCTTCCGCCCAATGTCGAAACGCCGAATAAGAAAACGATCGCTTGATGTTCCCATTTTTTAGTGGAAGCCTCTGGGCA